GCGATAAATCGATAAAGCCCGGGCTGGGCGAGGTGCTAAGCGCATGCTCAGTATCCTAAGTCGAATCGGACCCAACCGCGCCCTGATCACTCTTCTAGACTACGCCGACCTGATCGAACGTCTGTTTCAATTTGGATAAGAAAATATCCCTGTTTCTAATAAAATCTCTTGCATAAAAGCATTAATACCAGTTTGCCTATTTGCACAGTTATTGCACACGTTTATTAAGTGTAGTGAAGTTCTAGAAGGTCCACCAGGCGGATTGGTTGCGCTTTATACTTACGTAAGTTTTTTTATTTCTTTAAAAGAGAAGCGACGTATAACACCTTTTATATAAACTCTGTTCAATACTTCAACAATGCGCTAGCGACGTTAAGAAGTCTATAAGAAAAAAAGTACAAAAGTTTTTATTAATATCAAAAATGTTAAAGACATGAATAAAATTGTGTTTTTTTCATATCTAAATAATTCCAATATGTTTGTGTAAAGAAGTCTTCTAAAGACGCCATTTTCAATAAACCCGCCATTTTGAGTAAAGTCAGACGCATGCGCGTGAAGAGTAAAGAGGTCACCTTCAGTGGACTTCAGTGGGCGGTTGGTAAAGGTTGAGCGGTGGGGCGGGGAGGGGGGAAAAATCGATACAGCCCGGGCTGAGCGAGGTGTGACAGGACAGATTTTTTAAAGTCTGCGCTGAAAACATTGCGGAGCGGAAGCCTTTAAGAAAAATTACAAAAGTTTTTATTAAAATCAATAATATAAAAGACGTGAACAAAATAGCTATTTTACATATCTAAGAAATTCAAAGATGTGTGTGAAGTAAACCGCTTCACGCTGAGAAAGCTTGGATGACTTAGTCCTAATCATCCTTCACATAAGGTTAGCTCGAGCCCCTCAGTGGGAACATGTATGAGCTGCCGACGACGAAACATAATTCAATAGTATTTTATTAATTATCGTATGTTTGGAAAATAAAACTGGAAACATAAATACGATTAATTACGACGCATAAAACATAAACATAAAATAAATAACCAAAATGTAAATTACTTCTTTCAAACGTTATTTTCATATTTACACAAAAAATTAGTATCTACCAAGTCAGATTCAAAAAATATAAAACAGATGATAAAACACGCAATCGTAGCTCACTAAAAACTACCTAGAAGCCATCGAATTAAACATGATCGATGAGTGGTCGCCATTTAAAGACGCCATTTTGAAAAACCGGCCATTTTTATTAAACTCAGACGCATGTAAAGGGTAAAAAGGTCACCTTCAGTTGAGTTGAGTGGGCGATTGGTAAGGGTCGAGCGAAGGGGGGTGGCGATAAATCGATAAAGCCCGGGCTAAGTGAGGTACAGAGCGCATGCTCAGTGCCCTAGGTCGAATCGGACACAACCGCGCCCTGATCACTCGTCTAGACAACACCGACTTGATCGGACGTCTGTGTTTTGATTCAGATAAGAAAATATCCCTGTATCTAATTTAAGTTGTTTCATTGAAGCATTAGTACCAGTTTGCTCATTTGCCGAGGTTTTGCATAAGCTTATTAAGTGTAGAGAAGTTCTCGAAGATCCTAAAGTGTAAAATTTTTCCATTAATCCACAAGGAGGATTGGGTGCGCTTTATACTTTCGTAAGTGTTTTTTTAATTTGTTTAAAAGCGAAGCGACGTGTAACACCTATTTGTTACTGAGACAAAAATGATGATATACCAGTGCGCATATTTTGTTTATATTATTACGTAGCTATCTATCTACGATTTACTTTTTAACACTTAATTGAGTTAATAAAAACATCAAATAACTATTAACAATATTTTTCAAAGTAACATTAAAATCGTATAAGCTGTTACGGAACTTAATAAAATAAAAAAAACTTAATTTGAACTTGGTTTAAATTAAAATTTAACCGGCATAAACATAACGAGGATGAGCGCAAAAGGTCCCATTGCATAACCAATATTCATAATCGATGAGTGATCGAGACGCCATTTTGAACATCAGACGCAACGCATGCGCGTTAAGGGAAAAAAGGTCACCTTCAGTTGAGTTGAGTGGGCGGTTGCTAACGGTTTAGCGGTGGGGCGGCGGGGGGGGGCGATAAATCGATAAAGCCCAGGCTGAGCGAGGTGCGATTGGAAAGATTTTTTTAAATTCTGCGCTAAAGAAATTGCGCAGTGGAAGTCTATAAGAAAAATTAGAAAAGTTTTTATTAAAATAAAAAAAGATATTTTTACATTTCTAAGAAATTCAAAGATGTGTGTGAAGTAAACCGCTTCACGCTGAGAAAGCTTGGATGACTTAGTCCTAATCATCCTTCACATAAGGTTAGCTCGAGCCCCTCAGTGGGAACATGTATGAGCTGCCGACGACGAAACATAATTCAATAGTATTTTATTAATTATCGTATGTTTGAAAGATAAAACTGGAAACAAAAATACGATTAATTACGACGCATAAAACATAAACATAAAATAAATAACCAAAATGTAAAGTTCTTCTTTCCAACGTTACTTTCATATTTACTCAAAAAATAGTATCTACCAAGTCAGATTCAAAAAATATAAAACAGATGGTAAAACACGCAATCGTGGCTCACTAAAGACTACG